AAAGAAAAGTAAGAGATTATTGAAAAAGTAAGGTTGAGGATGAAGGACTTCATATTGATGTTAAACTACAAAGGTAGGTGTGTGTGTGTTTTGTGTGTGTGTGTGTGTGTATAAAGACCTGGGAATATAGGCATTAGGCATTAACTAGTAGTGATGGTCTCTGGTGGTGAAGGATTGATTTAATCAGGCGTTGCTAATTTTCTACAATGCACATATGCTGCTTTGTAATAATAATTTTTAATTAAGTTATACTTAACATACAATATTATATTGGTTTCCGATGTACAACATAGTGATTGGATATTTTTATACATTGTGAAATAATCACCACAATAAGTTCAGCTACCATTATCACCACACATGTAACAATAATTTTTGAACCACGCAAACTAGGTAATAAAAGTTAGTCAATGTAATGGATTAGATTTTTAAATGATTTAAACTTTAATGGGGTATATTTCCTGGTAAAAATTAAGATACAAACAATAAGTAGTTTCTGCCTAATAATAATTCTATGCGTGACTAGCATCTTACATGCTAGATAATCTTCCTAGAAATAATGATTGCTTTGATTTTATTAAAAAGACCACTCCACAGGGTTATAAGTCACCTAGTGTCTTCTTCCCTCTTGATTATGTGCATTTTAATATGAATCTTAAGTGGGTGGAATGTGTCTTTCTCTGTTTTTCTAGCATTAAAATGTTTTGTTTCCATCATTTTCCATCCTCTAATATTTAGTTTATTAAAGCAGAAATAAATTGATTAAAATAAATCATGAAGAGTTTGTATTCAGAAGGCTATCTATAATTATGGATAGATTTTTATGCTTATACTTCATTTTACATATAAGTTAAAAAACATGTACTACTTCTTTCTCCCATTGACTCTTGAAAGCCTGGATTATAATCTGTCAGTTTTAGTGTATCTTTATTTATGTGTGAAATTCTTTTTTTGTTTGATCTAATCATAAAATAGGTATCAGACAATTTCCATGCATGAATCAGGGAAAATAAAAGTGAATAAATAAAGTTCTTTGTCCTCAAGGAGATCCTAATCCAGGAGGGAGAGGAAGAAGAAAAGGTGCTATATAGATCTATAAACAAAATAATTTCCAGAGCAATAGAATTTCATTTATTTTCTTCAGCAAATATTTATAAGTATTTACTTAGGCTTCAGGTTCTGTGCTAGAAACTGGTCTTCAGAAAGAAAAAACGTTTCCCCCTTTGAGTTGTCAATAATCTAAGATAGACTAATAAACAGATAAACAGACTATTCATGATAATATGATTAGTAGCACTAAATCAGTGGTTCTCAAATGGGCAGTATTTTGTCTTCAGAGGACATTTGGCAATGTCTGGAGACATCTTTGATTGTCACGACTGGGGTGTGTGTTACTGGAATCTAGTAGGTAGAGGCCAAATATACTATTAAACATCATGTGATGCCAGGACAAACAACCCTGCGCAATAAAGCGTTATTAGGTCAAAAATGTCAATAGCAATGCTCTTGAGAAGCCTTACACTAACCATTGAGTGTTTTGGGTTTATATGAGAGGAGTGTCTAACCCAAAAAAGGTGAGTACGGGAGAGGAGACATGGAATGCTTTCTCGGAACCTGGAACTAAAGTTTGAAGGGCAGTTGGAGTTAACCAGGCAGAGGACACTGGTTGTGTCAGCAGAGGTATGTAAAGAGTGCTTTGGGAACATGGAGGAAGGAAAGTCTAATTTGGGGGAATTATGAGGAGTGACATGCATAGACAACTGTCATAGAAGGCTTCTCAGGGATGTTTGTGCAATGTCTAAAGAGATGACTGGGGGTTGTCATGTGGACGTAGATATGTTGTGGGGGATGGTGTTGGAAAAGTTCCAGAGTTTCATTTTCAAATTGAGGTTTCTAACTCTGCCAAGAGTCATTTTGAGACGTTGCATATTAATTCTATAAAAAAACAACAAAAAGACTGCATATGCCAATTAGTAATTCATTTGTACCATAAGAGATAATCATGTTTTAAAAAATTACATACTTCAAAAAATAATACAACTCAGATGCAATGATGAATATATGAAGATGTTCATTGCAGCCTTAACTTCCAAATATATGGTTATTCTCCATATATATTTCTTTTATTGACTTCTAGTTTAATTCTATTATGATCTAAAGACATACTTTATATGATTTTTATTTTTTTAAATTGTCAAAATTTGTTTTATGGCTGAGAGTATCATCTATCTTGTTAAATGTTCCACATGCACTTGAAAGAAATGCTTATTCAGATGTTGAGTGGAGTGTTCCATAAATATAAATAATATGACATCATATTGACAGAGTGATTGATAGTGTTGCTTATATCTCCTTATCTTTACTGATTTCCTGACTTTGTTCTAGCAATTACTGAGAGAGGAATGTTGAAGTCTCAAACAGTAATTGTGGATTTATCTATTTCTCTGTTCAGCACTACCAGTTTTTATTTTGTGTATTTTGAGGCTTTGTTATTAGGGATGTACACATTTAGAACTCCTAGGTCTTCTTGGAGAATTGGCCCATTTATTATTTATTATTATCTAATTTTCCTCTGAAACATTGATAATATTCCTTGTTCTGAAGTAACTTTGTGTGATATTTTTTATAGCCACTCCAGCTTTCTTTTGTTGGTGTTTGCATGGTGTATCTTTTCATTTTACATTTAACCTATCTATGCTTTTATATTAAGGCTTTTTATAAATAGCATATGGTTAAAAAATCCAATCTGACAAATCTGTTTTTAATTGGCATGTTCAGATCATTCACATTTTGCCATTATTGATATGGTTGGATTAAATTCCACAATCTTACTTTCTCTTTGTTCCATCTGTTCATTTCTTTTATCTCCCCTTTTTCTGCCTTCTTTTTGTTAATTGAACATTTTCCTATGATTCCATTTTATCTTCACTATTAGCTTATTATTTATACTTAAAAAATTTTTAGTAGTTGCCCTAGGATTTGTGATGTATATCTTCAATTAACTAGAATCTGCTTTCAAATAATATTCTGCTTCAGGTATAGAGTTTTTTTTTTCATTATAAAACACTGACTTTGAAAGAGTGTGCAATCATGCCCACCGCTAATTACATTATTAAAAATTCTGAAAGCTGTACAGCTTAGTGAATGCTCAACAACTGCCTCTCAGGAAAAATTTGTGGTGCTTGATAATCTTGGTAGTTTAACCACACCAACCATGGCCAATTTCTGGCTATACTACTGCAACATCACTGAGTATGAAGTTAGGAAGAAATGAGCACAATTATCACACTGCTGCAGGAAGCTCCAGCATACGCTGTTGAGCCCTTAAGGTCTCCTGGTGTTGCTAACACATGCCCTTGGTTCTTGGTTACTATTTATATTTCTAGGACCTACAACTTTAAATTCTCAGGCCTACAGATTTAAATTCCAATATCCAAGGAGTCTGCAACCACAACATTTTATCTTTTTGCAAGTTTATCTTCTCATATTGCTAAAAACTTCACGTTCATTAAAAATGATCATATCCTCTTCACAGAATTTCTACCTTCAAAAATACCCACCAGAGGCTCCCATATACCAGCCTGTATTAACTGTGTCTGAATCAATCTAAAGACAAAACACAACAAGGAGATGCATCAAGCCATTCTTTAATTCAAAATTGTTTATGACACCTACCCAGGAGTTGGCTGCCCTAGAGCTGGGGCTTACAGCAGGCTTAATTTGGGGCATGGATTGGGACAGTTAGAGAGCAGGTTTGCATGTATCTTACCATGAAAATGTGAATCATTCGATTGATATAGGTTAGCCAGAAAATCTGTGTTTAAAGCTGCCTTGGTGCTCACTCATAACCAGCTACTAACTCTCCCATTGTGAGTCAAGTAGTGACTATGGCCTAACAAGAGAGGTCTTAAGTTTTTATTTGCAACAGAACTGGGGAAGTGGAACAAATGGTGAACATTTGGAACTTCCTGGGAGAGTATGCTGTGAGACAGTCTTAAGAGTATTTCAATTCCAGTGTCTTTACAGAAGGGAGAGCCTTAATGGTAATGTTAAAAATAAAGATTTTCTTTTGGGGCAGGGGGAGCATGTGTTGAACAGAAAAATTATAGAAGCTATTGCTCAACACTTTTAACTGAGGACTCAAATGCAAGAGACTGGAAAGGGTCATAAAGAGACTATGTACTCAGGTAAACATTTTGAATAATTGTGAATTTTACTGCACAAACACATAGTTGAATACTTTCTTGTGTTATCATTTCTCCACATTCTGGGATGAAAATAGTAAGAAAGGGCTGAAAGAATCTTGAAGCTAATTTCTCACTTCTTACTCCTTTTTCTTTAATCTTCATATAACCCACCATCACCAATCTTTTATGTCTTCTAAAGGAGGAAATTGGAACATAAAACACATGTTTAAATTAAAAAATACAGGCAGGAGTTGTAAATCATTTACACTTCCTTAGGAATGGTGATTCCAAAACATTACTTACTGAACTACTATTGCCTTTAATCACCTTTATAGCTAAGAAACTTAGATTTTTTTCAAAATGTATTCTTTTCTTTTTCTATGAGTTAAAGAATATTTACTTA